GTCAATATAACACACGTCACTGGAGTTTTTTTTTTCTTTTCTCAAAGCTACACAAAGACTATCTGCACGTAGCCGTCAATACTTTTTGAAGAGAAAGTAGTCTAGTCCGAAGCACCCACCACCGACGTTTAGGCCATTCAAGCTGTATTTGACTACTACTCATGAAGCGCACTCACGACCTTAAAGTGCGGAGTTTTTTGTTTTGCAATGAGACGCGAACCATGAACTTTCGGATTCATAGTCTGGGCAAAGAAGCCAACTTGCCACACCCGGCCAACTTCGCTCTGAGAAAAAGTGGATTTCCTTTTGTGTGGGTGGTTCTGTATTTTTTCCCCTTTCAGTCATACCCTGAACAACTTCAAACTGTTTCATGCATACGGCTTCCAACCATGGTTAGAATCTGGTCACCGGTCACTCCTCAGAACGAGATTTTGACTAGTATTGCGTTTACTGCACTCTAGAAACTTCTAATACTGACCAATGTAATACACCAGGTAGGGCCCGGAGTCGTCAAAAGAAGGGTATCTTTAATGGTAGCAGAATGGAATGCTGTACATAAGTGATGCAATCTAGAAAGGTGTCTATAGTGCTGACAGAAAGAAATCGGCGTTATTCTGTCAGACACAGGTCTGCAGTCATAGGTAGAAATACATCCGTAATACTGATAAAATGAAACATAAAAAGTATGAACTTCAGTCATCGGTAGAAATACATCTGTAATACTGATAAAATGAAACATAAAAAAGTATTTCGTTAGAAATACATCTGTACTTCTGGTAAGATGAAATATAAAAACCTATTTACTGCGATCTTCAGTAAAAAACAAACAAACAAGAGAGAATCCTCAATAGCCGCGGCATTTAAAATTATTTTAGGCAGGATTAGAGTAAATTAATCTATGAGATCTTTTTTTTTTCTTTGTTATTAGCTATATTTTAGCATTTTTTGAGTAAAAGCAAAGTCATCACAGAATATGCAAAATATACATAAACAACTGAAAATAAAAGATTCGACTTTTCAACTCTAGCATGCACAGATAAGGTTCTCCCGTTTGGTTAATCTTTCGATTAATTAGGATATATAGCAAATTGGGTACCAAAATAAGAATCCAAACTAAGGGTAAAAAGAGGTTTAAAATTTGTATCTGAGACATCAATAAAAAAAAGAGGGAATCATCAATGGCCGCGACACTTGAAATGCATTTAGGTAGGATTAGAGTAAATTAATCTACGAAACCTTTTTTTTTCTTTTTATTACATATATTTTTATGCGCTAGTAATACCAAGCGTGGAGCATGCGTATACCCGATTCAATTTTATTACTCATCAGGATTTCTACAAGCCTACCCTCAAATTGAAATTCTTTTAGGCAGGATTAGAGTAAATTAATCTGTGAGACCTTGGGCGTGGTCAAAAACACCCGTCGAAAGGGTTTGATCTCCCTAGTCCAAAAGTGTAATTTGATCTCAAATCGGTCAAGATATGACGGAGCTACGAGTTAAAAGTTTGTACTTGAAAAGAAAACAAACAAAAAACCCAGATCCGTTCTATGAGCGGCTATGCCGCGGATAAAAAAATAAAATGAAAAAGTTAAATACTGGGACTGGGGAAATATGAACTCTTTGATAGTAGTTGTTCTACTTTACATAAAATGATGTGGAATATTCTTTCCAGAGTTTGTTGGTATTAGCTTGTACATGAAACATTGTACTGGGATAATGGTCAAAGTTATTAAACAAGCTGATAAAAATTATTGTAAGTTGACTTCACTTATTAGAACAGATTACTTGACTGTTTTCGATAACTACACAAAACATGCAGCTGTAGGTATGACCCAGTTGTCCAACTTGATTAACGTTTGTTTACAGTTACTACACAAAATAGGTAGCTGTAGCTATGATCCAGTTGTTCTATTTGATTAACCTTTGTTTGTAGATGCTACACAAAATAGGTAGCTGTAGCTATGATCCAGTTGTTCTATTTGATTAACCTTTGTTTATAGATGCTACACAAAATAGGTAGCTGTAGCTATGATCCAGTTGTTCTATTTGATTAACCTTTGTTTATAGATGCTACACAAAATAGGTAGCTGTAGGTATGACCCAGTTCTCCTACTTTATTAAGTTTTATTTACAATAATTACACAAAACAGGTATCTTACAGATGGTATGGACTTTACATATAATAAAACCTAGCACATCAAGGCGTTTATCTATAACAAAACTTTCAGAAGTTCATTGCAATTTCGTGACTATAAAACGTTTGTTATGTATTTTTGCACATTGTTACGTTCATCACAATTGTTGTTAATAAGAAACGTTTGCCACATCTTTAAGCTACAATAGCTTTCAGTCAAATAACAAGAGAAAAAGAAACATTAATAGGAATGAATATAAGTTTGCTTATTATAGCATAGGTATTTATTAGTATACATGAAAATTGTTAATTTGTTTTATTACAAAAATTACACCTGTAAAAATATTCCTTGTGTAATGTACAAGTGACTCTTCTATTCGCGCATTACTAGGAAATTGTTTTTAATTAATGAAACGGTTCTGTAGAATTACTTAGTTGTCATATGGTTACAAAGTTCAATGTGTACATTAGACATTCTTCTAGTTAATCTTAGAAATTGCTCAGTTGTTGTCGTCCGTTCATCTTTTTTCTATTTTTTCACATTGTGAGGTCAGACAAGCCTTACCCTAACACAGTATCATCTTTGGAGTATGGCCACGTGCAAGGGGGTTGTTATACATGTTTATAATAGTGTAGAACATGACCTTTCTCAAATTGTTAACCCCTATTTTTGCACTTCAAGGTGTCACGTACACAGAGCTGGATGGCTTATCAACACTTTTTTTGTTGTTGTTGTAGCGATAGAATCTGTTGCCTTGGAATTTTTGTTCGCGATGAACTGTGGGAAAGACACGCCTTCCTCTAAACTCCTGGAATGAATAACAAGCTAATTGCGGATGGGAATTTCGTGGCCAAATATTTGTGTGTTTTGCTGCCTTTGTACACTTTGAAGACATCTTGAACGAGATGAAAAGATTAAAGCCGAACAAATAATTGAAATACCCAAACCCTGATGAACTCATATTCTGATCACTAGGGGTCGGGTGGAAAGAGCGGATAGAGAGAAATGAGCACAAAGCCGACCGTGATGGAGTTATAGATCAGATAAGATAGCGTGCAGTAACATTATTTTGTACGAAAAATTGTCGCAAACCATAAGAATTTCAAAGATTCTCCACTATTAAGATAAAAAAAAAATTCACAGACTAACCAGTTGTGCAAGAACAAAGACTTTGTAGATTTTCGTCATAACTTAATGTGCCACAGAGTGTGTGTTCTACAGAGAGAAACCTTTGAGTTTATGATGGGATGTAGTAGGCATTTTTGTTTTTCATCACTCTTCGGGAGGTCAGAATAAAACCCTAAACAAGAACTACAAATTATTCACATAAATCTACCATGTGAAAGATCGTGAGGAATAAACATTGACTTTAGTGCATATTAGAATTTAGCTGTTTCTTTGACCATTGGCATTTTGTCAGAAAATTGAGAAATTATATTAATATTTAATTTATTGAACTTGTGTGAAAATATATGTAATTAATTATGATAATTATATTACGTATACATCTTATTATTTTTATGGATTATTGACAGGGATTAAAAATTTCCGTAACTCCTAAGCTGAACTTAAATTACCATGTATGAAGCAAAAAAATTATGTTACGTATTATATGTAAACTCAGAAAGACGTACTGTACTCTAAAAAATGTTGAAGCAATGAACTCTGATAAAGAAGGTGTCATGTTTGGCCGCATGGTCGAGATTTTAATACAGTGTGCCAACTTGTGGTTTTCACCACAGTCTGGACAAGGTTTATGAGACTTGCCAACAACCAGTAGAGTATATCGCCATTCCTTTTCGTTGTCCATTAGACAGCCTTTCAAGGTGCTCCAAAATAGTTTAATTAGATTCAAGTCAAGGGTCTGCGCTGGGCAAAGCATATTTAGGACATTAAAGCCACTGATGTCACAGCGCGTGGTATGTCATGATGGATCGTTGCCATTTGGGAAAATGCGTGTTCCTACCCTATACGATTTTGTTTCTTGGTTTTGTTATTAAACACATACCTACACAGTGGGATATCTATGTTCTGCCCACCGCTGGTATCAAAACAAGATATGTAGCATTATAAACTTTTAGACTTACTGTTGAGCCACTGGGTGGGGAAGAGGGGGGGGTGTTCATACGATTCCACCAATGCAAGCAATGCAGATTTCTGTATAATATCTCAGTGTGAAACGACATTCATGGCTTACATAAATCTTACCAGTGGATGAAGTGATTAAAATAATTCTATGCCATAATATTGCCCTACTAGTCTTCAAAACTTCAGATGGCCGGTTCTGGGTATGTCCACAACCTAGAGAAAGCTTTGTCATTTCTCTCAATATAATCTTCCCATTCACTCCAATGTCGACACTTAAAGCACTGGGAAGGCTGACATTTTACATTCACTGCTGTGATGACTACTTTATGGGATGCAGCATAACCATAAAAACCAACAACATTTGGGTGTGCTGGCCTGCAGTCCTAACCTTTCATTAAAGTCTTTGATCATGGCATTAACGTCAAGTGGGTGACTTCGTTTTACAGCATGGGCTGTAATTTCACAGACACCAATACTATCACTGTTGTCTTCATTAACCACTGTTTCTTTGAAAGTGTGTGAGGATCTTCACTCGTTGCATCTTGACTTCAGCTGCTGACTTTTATAAGCCGTGCGCAAAGGTGCATTATGGAATTCTAGTGTAATTTCAAAACCAGTTGAGTATGTGTTATTCCAATACTATTGATGATATATTGTATGTTTATGTATATATTAGCGTAAATTAATTTAAACCACACGTATATTTAGATTTCTATTCAATAAATTTCATACTATAATGTAAGTTTTATGTTTGTATATCTTTTTTGTTATTCCAGACAGGAAAGGCTAAAGCAGAGGCCAGGATAGAAGCATTACGAGAAGGAGAAGGTATGAAAATAATACTTTTGTGTTGGAGTGAGAAGAGTAAGATTACAAGTTTTGTCTTGTAAAAAGTAAAATGTCGATGCTAGCCACTGTGTATTATTTTATGATTTTCCATGACGGCTGACTAGATTGAAATCGGTTTCTGGATTTTGTCTGATAGATGGGATATCCCCAACGCATTTGCGTGCTATTACCACAGGAATATGTGTAATATAATTTAATATTGTGTGTATTAATTTTTTACACCTTTACTTCATACATAATATAAGGGTTGAGTCCCTAAAGACACCGATTGTATAGTGTATAAAACATTGAATATCTACATGTTACAGTCATCTAATGTTCATCTATTATTGGCTAGTAATTCCTGTTTCGCTAGATATTTGTAAGAAAGCTAACTTCAAGAGGTAATGATAATATTGTTTACACTATAATTATGATGTTTTAGCTTATATAAAATATAGAAGAAACAAATCGACTTTTCAATACCACTACCTTATTTAGTATTCTACAAAAGGTTTGGGTACAATATACTAAGATGTACTTGTTGTTGTACTAAGCCGCTTTTGTTTTAGGCTGACAAGAGAATAATAATTAGAATTACAAACGGACCGTTTTGAGCAGATTTTCTTTTCCTTATAAGCCTAACATGCGTGTTTTTTTGTGCATTTTTATATGTGTACAGCCTTAGCAGTCAATAGTAAAGGTTTAAAAGTGTTGTTTGTACTGAATCTTTACTGTTTAAGGTGCCCGAACGTTCTGTTAGGGTTTTGTGCAATTCTTTGCGATCTCTATTATGAACCACTATCGTGGTTCACGATATCTGATCTTATGAATGTGTCTGATGGATTTACTTGTTAGTTTTGACTGTGATTATGTACCCGTATGTGTACATTCGTATACATTAGTAGTACTTCTGGTATTATAGCTATCTCTATTCAAAAATATAATTTTTGTTTCAGATCAATTTTGAACAACGAATTTTGAAAAACAAGAAGAAATCCTCAATAGCCGCGGCACTTAAAATTATTTTAGACATGATTAGAGTAAATTAATCTATAAAACCTTTTTCTCCTTTTTATTAGCTAACTTTTTATGCGCCTGCAATTCCAAGCGTGGGACGCGCGTATACCAGATTCGATTTTATTACTCATTATGATCTTTACCAGCCTACCCTCAGATTGAAATTATTTTAGTTAGGATTAGAGTAAGTTAATATATGAGACCTTGGGCGGGGTCAAATTCATTTCAATCGAAAGGGTTTGACCTCCTGAGTCCAAAACTGTAATTACATCTCAAATCGGTCAAGAGATGACGGAGCTATGAGATAAAGGTTTGTACTTGAAAAACAAACAAACTCAAAGCCATTCTTTGAGCCGCTCGGCTAAAAAAGACATGTTTTACAGGTTAGAACTTTAGTGTGCAGTGTTAAAATGTTTTAGATAAACTACTTATTATATGAAGATTCAAGGGGGGGGAGTTATACTATTAACAGGCAGGGGTACCCAACTGGTGAATTACTGCAATTTAGCCACCATAGCTTAATTAAATTAACTCCCTTGACTGTTTGTATTATCATAGCGATGAAAGTTAGCACTTAACTTAGACTTACATCTTTATATCTGCCGTCATGAATATAGTGCTAAGGATAGGTGTAGACCTAAACGAGTTTTTAAGGTGTCATTTTATATTAATTACTTAGGTCGTTATTGTTCGACATTTTATTTATCATATGGAATGATTCAACTATCACTGAATGTGCTAATCTTTATATTTAAATATTATTGGTAACTTTGTATATTAGCAACCTAATTCGTTATTAATGAGACACGACAGTAGTACTGAACTTTAGCTAAATATATGATTGGCTTGTTACAGTGGCCGCAAGTTTCGTGGGCCGCGTTGGGGAATGAAGTATTTCCGCTGGAGAGGGGGGAGGAGGCTTTTTGTGATTGTTGGGCTATGTTACCACAGTCTATCAATTATATTCCATTACAGAAAACATTACGCACGGTCGGCGGCTGGTGCCTGTAATACAACACTCTGTATAACACACTTTCCTGTCACATTTACTACAAGAAATATGCCAGCTTTTTTACATTAAATAAGAAACATGTAGCCTTCTAGAGGGGCGTCAGTCCCGTCTTGACCCGCCAGCGGCTGAGGTGTGTCGTGAATCTCGCTGGGCTGCTGATAGGCTCTGCGGGAGAACACCGTTGTATGAGTCGTACACTCGGTTACTTAAAGCTTATAATCGGGGTGAACTAGCTTTTTGTTTCAAAAGGAAGCCATAAAAATATACGGTCATGTTAGGAAGAGTTGAGTAGTACATCGTTATCATATGTTTGTATCTTGGTTTTTAAAAAGGTAATGATTAACAACAAAAGATCGAATGAGAAAGCAGAAGAGTAAATATAAGGTGTAATGAACAATAGACTAAAATTTGTAATTAAAACAGGAAACATCGTGTAAGTGGAAAAAGCAGTAAACGTTGGAATTAAATCAACAGTCGACTCGTGGAACAAAAAAAAACAACTAAAAACGAAGGGTTTAATAATTTGTTAGGGTCAAGTATAAAAACTAGGAAACCAACAATTAGTTGACTGAGGAGCTGAACGGTCCTGAAAGAAAACTGGTGTTGAATAATAGTATTCCTGTTAGGAGTTGACTGTTTACATGTGAAAATGTTAAGTATTTGGAAGAATGGAACTAGTATTTTACAACCTGAACGGCTCTTTATGTACATATGAACTAAACGGTCGGGACAGAGACCCTTATGACTTAAATATAGCCTTCTCTGATGTTGAATTACTGACCAGAGAGAAGACAGCCAGCTAATAGCACCCACCGCCACAAGGGTTTTATTCGTCTCCTTTGAACCGAATAGTGGAGACTGACTATCATTTTATAACACATCCACAGCAAAACGTGTTAAGCGGCATCACGTTTCGAACCTCGAACCCGCAGTCCGATACGCTAATCACCAGGTCACGCCAAGCCCAAGTTGAATAAGATAGGCTGAAAATAATGTAGTAGTAGAGCTTTTGGAAATTAGGGATTAGATAATATGTTAATATATTTTAAAAAGTTAATATTAGTGTGGAGAGAGAGGTGGAGGAATGAGAAATTGATTGATAGAAGAAATTGTAATTTAAGAAATGCAAAAAAACAACAACAACAGTAAGGAATGAATTATTTCAAAAGTGGGTTATATTAATAAGAATAAAACACAAAGTCAAATATTAGACAGTATATAATATATTTAAAAGTGATGATATGGTCAAAAGAGAACAGCTGCATATGAAAGCTGTAGAGCTAAGTGTATAATCCACTGACGTGTGGTGACGTCTGAGAAACCTTTAATGGAAGGTTGATATCATTTTGTGGTAATGTAAGTGATAAGAAACGTTAAGCCAAGAGAATGAAGAAATGAATGTATATGTACAGAGTGTTTCATAAATAGTTTCCCTATTTCGAACTTTAATAAAACTATTATTACTAAGCGTGAATAACAAACTTTGTATACGTGTCAATTTGACTGTGGTGTTTATGATAATCGATAACAACAAAATTAATTTAAAATGTAAGTTTATATTAATTAATTACTAATTATGACTAATTAATTACACGAAATTATTAAAAATTAAAAGAGCGATAAAATGATACAGCTCTGGTAATAACTAAATTTGCATAGTAAACGTTGTGAATGGTATGAAAGCCATCGTCAAAGATTCGATTCATTCAGCTTACAAAACACGTTTCTAGAACATGTCACTACAGTAAAATGTTACCAGTGAAGGAGGAAATCCGCTCCTCAGCCCTGCATATGCTTCGAGCGGCGGCATGGAATGTGTTAATATGTTCAGTTTGTTTGATGAATTTCGCGCAAACCTGCTCGAGGGATATCTGCGCTAGCTGTCCCTAATTTAGAAGTGACAGACTACAGGAAAGGCAGCTAAGCAGCTCTTGAGCTGCCCTTTTATCAACAAAAAGTGGGATTGGCCGTAACATTATAATGCACCCACGGCTGAAAGGGCAAGCATATTTGGTGTAAAGATTGGAACTCGCGATCCGTAGATTGTGAGCCCTAACTACTATGGGCCATGCTAGGCCAGAAACGTTTAGATACGTTAATGGTCATGAATGGAAGCCGATCTATGAACACTTATGATGAAAACTATCATGTTAATAAGTATTTCTGTAATGATTAATTAATTGATAATTAATATTTAATTATTAACAAAATTTTCGTATTATCATAAACCCCATAGTTAAATTTGTACGTATACAAGGTTTCAGTTATGTACGCTAGTAATAATGGTTTTATTAATGTTGAAAATAGGGAAGTTATTTACATACATATACACCTGGAAAAAAGTTAAGCACCCCCGTGTTTTTTTCAAGTGATTCAGATTCGACGTTCTTGTGACTGATTATAAATTACCATTCAATCTAAACGTGTTTATCAAATGAAATTATGCATTATTGGGCACAAG